CAGCCTGGAGCTCCCACTGAAGTTCTCCTCACGCTCCTCACTGTGGATGAACCGGGCTTTCACCAGCTTGGAGTTGTCACTGAAGGTCTGCCCACACTGCAGAAGGTGGAACGGCTTCTCCTCCGCGTGTGAGCGCTGGTGCACCACGAGCTCCCCGACGCTCTTGAACCTCCGACTGCACTGCTCACACTCGTAGGGCTTCTCCCCAGCGTGGCTCCTCTGGTGGACAATCAGGTTGGAGCTGTTGGTGAAGCCCTTCCCGCACTGAGGACACTCGTAGGGACGTTCTCCGGTGTGGCTCCTGTGGTGGACAATCAGCTGCGAGCTCCTGCTGAAGCTCTTCCCGCACACCCCGCACTCGTAGGGCCTCTCGCCGGTGTGGTTCCTCTGGTGGACCACCAGGTAGGAGCTGGTGCTGAAGCTCTTCCCGCACTGCCCGCACACGTAGGGACGTTCCCCGGTGTGGATCCTGCGGTGGGTGGTGAGCGTGGAGTTCTCCCTGAAGCCCTTCCCACAGTCGGGACAGCGGAACGGCCGCTCCTCGCTGTGGATCCTCTGGTGACCACGGAGCGTGGAGCTGCTCTGGAACCTCTTCTTGCACACGTCGCACTCGTAGGGTCGTTCCCCGGTGTGGTTCCTCTGGTGGACGATCAGGTGGGAGCTGGTGCTGAAGCTCTTCCCGCACAGCCCGCACTCGTAGGACCTCTCGCCGTTGTGGATCTTCTGGTGGACGATCAGGTAGGACCTGGTGTTGAAGCTCTTCCCGCACACCCCACACACGTAGGGACGTTCTCCCGTGTGGATCCTGTGGTGGCGGGTCAGGGATGATCTCCACTTGAAGCTCTTCCCACACTCGGAGCACCTGTGGGGCTTCTCCTCCTCACCCTGGAGCTGCTCGTGGACCTCCAGCTCGGCCTCTGCCACCGGCTCCTCGCTGCTCTCCATGCTCAGCTCCTGCTCGGGGGCAGCAAGGACAAGGACACGGTGGGATTTGCTCCCACGGGGACAAGGACACGATGGGATTTGGGATTTGCCCCACAATTCAGGATGGGATTTGCCCCACAAAGACAGGATGGAATTTGGGATTTGCCCCACAGGGACAAGTTCAGGACAGGATTTGCCCCACAATTCAGGATGGGATTTGGGATTTGCCCCACATCCAGCATGGGATTTACCCCACAATTAGGGGTGGGATTTGGGATTTGCGCCACAAATTCAGGATGGGATTTGCCCCGTGGGGTCAAGGACACGATGGGATTTGCCCCCGTGGGGACAAGGACACGATGGGATTTGCCCCCACGGGGACAAGGACACGATGGGATTTGCCCCCGTGGGGACAAGGACACGATGGGATTTGGGATTTGCCCCACAATTCAGGATGGGATTTGCCCCACAAGGACAGGATGGAATTTGGGATTTGACCCACAGGGACAAGTTCAGGACAGGATTTGCCCCACAATTAAGGACGAGATTTGCCCCACAAGTTCAGGATGGGATTTGCCCCACAAGGACAAGGACAGGATGGGATTTGCCCCACATCCAGCATGGGATTTACCCCACAATTAAGGGTGGGATTTGGGATTTGCCCCACAAATTCAGGATGGAATTTGCCCCACAAGGACAGGATGGGATTTGGGATTTGCCCCACAGGTTCAGGACGGCATTTGGGATTTGCCCCACAAGGACACGATGGGATTTGCCCCACAGGTTCAGGAAGGGATTTGCCCCACATCCAGCATGGGATTTACCCCACAATTAAGGGTGGGATTTGGGATTTGCCCCACAAATTCAGGATGGGATTTGCCCCACAATTCAGGATGGGATTTGCCCCCATGGGGACAAGGACACGATGTGATTTGCCCCACAGTTCAGGATGGGATTTGGGATTTGCCCCACAATTCAGGAAGGGATTTGGGATTTGCCCCACAATTAAGGATGTGATTTACCCCACAAGGACACGATGGGATTTGCCCCACAATTCAGGACGGCATTTGGGATTTGCCCCACAAGTTCAGGAAGGGATTTGCCCCACAATTCAGGACAGGATTTGGGATTTGCCCCCATCCCAGGACAGGATTTGCCCCCACGCCCCCATTTGCCCCCCCCAGGCCGGGCTGGCAGCTGCCCCAGCACACAGAGGGTTAAAAGGGTCCTTGCCTTCCTCGAGATTTCCTGAAAAATCTCTTTTTTTAGGGTTTTTTCCCCTCTCCTGAGCAGCTCAGGAGCCTCTGAGGAAAAGATAAACAAGAATTATCTGCNCTCTGGTGGCACTGGGCACACTCGTAGGGCCTCTCCTCAACGTGGTCCCTCTGGTGGATGACCAGGTTGGAGCTCTCACTGAAGTTCTCCTCAACGTGGTCCCTCTGGTGAATGACCAGGCTGGAGCTCTCATTGAAATTCTCCTCAGTGTGGTCCTTCTGGTGGATGATCAGGCTGGAGCTCTCACTGAAGTTCTTCTCAGCGTGGTCCTTCTGGTGGATAACCAGGCTGGAGCTCTCGCTGAAGTTCTCCTCACACTCCTCAGCATGGTCCTTCTGGTGGATGACCAGGCTGGAGCTCCCACTGAAGTTCTCCTCGGCGTGGTCCTTCTGGTGGATGATCAGCTTGGAGCTCCCACTGAAGTTCTCCTCACACTCGTAGGGTCTCTCCTCAGACCTCTGGTGGACAATCAGCCTGGAGCTCTCATTGAAATTCCCCTCAGTGTGGTCCTTCTGGTGGATGATCAGGCTGGAGCTCTCATTGAAGTTCTCCTCAACGTGGTCCTTCTGGTGGATGACCAGCCTGGAGCTCTCATTGAAGTTCTCACACTCGTAGGGTTTCTCCTCAGCATGGTCCCTCTGGTGGATGACCAGGCTGGAGCTCTCACTGAAGTTCTCCTCAGCGTGGTCTTTCTGGTGGACAATCAGCCTGGAGCTCCCACTGAAGTTCTCCTCACACTCCTCAGTGTGGTTCCTCTGGTGGATGACCAGGTTGGAGCTCTCGCTGAAGTTCTCCTCACACTCGTAGGGTCTCTCCTCAGACCTCTGGTGGACAATCAGCCTGGAGCTCTCACTGAAGTTCTCACACTCGTAGGGTCTCTCCTCAGCGTGGTCCTTCTGGTGGATAACCAGCCTGGAGCTCTCATTGAAGTTCTCACACTTGTAGGGTTTCTCCTCAGCATGGTCCCTCTGGTGGATGACCAGGCTGGAGCTCCCACTGAAGTTCTCCTCGGCGCGGTCCCTCTGGTGGATGATCAGCCTGGAGCTCTTGCTGAAGTTCTCACACTCATAGGGTTTCTCCTCAACGTGGTCCCTCTGGTGGACAATCAGCCTGGAGCTCCCACTGAAGTTCTCCTCGCACTCCTCAGCATGGTCCCTCTGGTGGATGATCAGGCTGGAGCTCTCATTGAGGTTCTCCTCAACGTGGTCCTTCTGGTGGATGACCAGCCTGGAGCTCCCACTGAAGTTCTCCTCACGCTCCTCAC